CAGTCCTGCTTCAGTTCTAGAGCGCCTCCACTTTAGTGTTTTGTATATACTAGGTTTCCTCCTAAGGGTTTATTTGAAAAAAAAAAAGAAAAAAAAGTGTTCTGTAGCCTTAAAAAAAGTCATAAATACTAGATAGTATATGATAACCTTATACAATTATTATAAGAATAAATGAGTGTGCTGATGGAAAGAAGAAACTCAAGGGGAATACTGATTGCGATAGAGACAGCTAGTTACATCCCAGGCCTCCCACCTCCCATCCCACAATTCCCAGAGTTGTGGGTGGTGCCTGTCCAGCTAAGGACTACATTTCCCAGTCTCCCTCCCTTTTCATCTAGATGGGGATTCATTTTCACTAATGATACAGTAGAGAAAATGCTGTTTGTCATTTCTGGGCCCATGTGGTTAAGAAGCAGGTATGCGGTCTTTCTGCCCAATCACTAACTAAATGCAAAAGTCTCTGTGGCCATATAGCAGTAGTTAGCAAACCACACGCTAAATCCAGAAAGCTGTTTGTTTTTGTAAATAGCTTCATTGGACATACCCATACACATTCATTTTAAAGTACAGTTGTCCCTTGAACAACACGGGTTTGAACTGCATGGGTCCACTTATATGCAGATTTTTTTTCAACAGTAAATGCTACAGTGCTACATGGCCCACTGTGAGTTGCAACCTCAGATTCAGAACCACAGATACAGTGGAACCTCAGGTATACAGAGGAAGTTATACACAGAATTTGAATGCTTGGAGGGTTGGTGCCCACGTTGGAGGGTTGGTGCCTATGGAACTACAACTGCAAATGCAGAGTTAAATAGTTGAACCAGAGGCCCTATGGCCACACACCCTTAAACATTTAATATTTGGTCCTTTATAGAAAATGTTTGTTGACTTCTATGGGATGAAAGGAGCCTGGGGCCCTGAATCATTATCTGGAGGAAAGCTGCTCACTGACAAATGATACCTCTTGTATGAACAAGAAAGAAATTTCTCATGTTATGTCACTGAAAATTTCAGTTACAGCAGCTAGCAACACACTATCAGTTAAACACTATTCTTGGAAGCTGGTCCAAAAACCTACATATTTATTAAAAACTTCTCACATATATCTGGCAAGTGAATGGTAACAAGTGGGTGGTTATTGCTCAGGGTCTTGCTCAGAGACATTGGAAGAAAATTTCAAATTTAAAAAGTGAACTGAAGATAAAGCATCAAGAATATTCAAAGAAGCTACTAAGGCAAACAACTTTTAAAAATATATAGTGTCGGGCTTCCCTGGTGGCGCAGTGGTTGAGAGTCCGCCTGCCGATGCAGGGGACACGGGTTCATGCCCCGGTCCAGGAAGATCCCACATGCCGCGGAGTGGCTGGGCCCGTGAGCCATGGCCGCTGAGCCTGCACCTCCGGAGCCTGTGATCCGCAACGGGAGAGGCCACAACAGTGAGAGGTCCGCGTACCGCCAAAAATAAAAAAAATTAAAAAAAAAAATATATATATATATAGTGTCAAGAAAAACATTTGTTGAGGTTTGGAAAAGAAAGAAGGCATTGGTAAAGTACACTTTCAAGGTCATGGAGAGGTAGATGATGGATTAAAGAGGTTAGGATTCTTCTTTTAAGAGGAATAAAGGACACGGATCACAGGATCTACCTGCAAAACAAAGTCACAAATTAATACGTACACTTACTACATGGGATGCATAATTTTGCTGTCTTTCCTTTCCGCTCCATTCCATTCTACTTTGTCGTTATTGGATATGTGTTTTACTTTGGTTAGTAGAGTCCACAACCCACTATGTTGCAAACTGCAGTTTTGAAAAAAACTTCTTTACAGAGGCATCATATTCTCTGAGTTGGGATTTATGCAAGAGATTTTCAATCATTTATCTAATTCCAAAAAAAAACCCATATAGGAGAAACGCAGCAGGGTTTATGTGTTTGGTTTTGGACGTGGTTTTCTGCTTCCCTCTGGGGTCTTTATCCACATTTACTTAGGAAGGCCTGACCATCGGCGAGGAGGAAGCTGTAGAATAGTTTCATCTGGGGGCAAAGGGGTGGTTGGAATATAGGGGGTTTCACCACCGTCTGGCTGGATCTATTGAGGTCGGCCCCGGGGCGCCGCGGAACCTGGGTTCCTGCGATGCACCAGTCAGCACCCCCTACCCCTGCGCGAAACCCCCGCCCCTCCACCCCACCCCGCGGTCCAGACCACTAGACACACATGGGCAAAGCCCCTCGGTCCGGACGACCAAGACCCACACCCCCGCCTGGTCGAAGCCCCCAGGCCCTGACAACCAGGCCCCTGTCGGCCCAAGCCCCCAACGGCCCCAAACACCCCCAGCTACTCCCAGACGAACCCCACCGGTCCCGGATACTAGTCCCCGCCCCCTGGAGACCAGCCGCCCCCCTCCCCTCCC